AAGTTGTTCCAGGGTTGAAGGCCACCATACATACAGGGAAAGCTTTTTGATTTCAGTGTAGGGACCGAGTCAGCTGAGAGCATGTGTAATCTCACAACATTACTGCTCTTATTCTGTCAGAAGAGTTAAGCAAGAAATACTACCAAGAAATGGTTAAATCCAAAAAGGGAGATTTACTTTTTTCTTTGAAAAAAGGTTCGTATAACGTGCTTGAAAAAAATGCCTCTCTAACATTAGATATCACAAAACTCACGTTTTTTTCCTGTACCAATTGAAACTAAACTTAGTACTAAGTTCAGTAAATACATAGCCTTACCAACTGGCAGGGAAAAGAAGACATCAACTAAAAATATGTGCTTCCGAGTATCAAAGTTATTAGTGTAAATTATACAGTCAGGTTAAATTTATACCTTTATCTCTTGAGCCCTTGGATAGCACGAGATACACAATATCTCTGTGAGAATAATGTAACAACTGAGTGAAAAGAAAGATCACCAGGACATTCTATGCTGATTTTTGCGTTATCTATTCATGTTCCTTACCTCTCCGTATGGACTGTAATATTGTTCAGCTTTACTTACCGATAGCCATGAAATTAAGATTCTCATGGACAGTTAGGCAGGATACAACGGTGGGCTTGTTACCCGGTATCGCTGGAAAAATTCGTGTGCAAAGAGGATTACCACCATCTCGTTTCTCCAGGTTCCAGACTTTCACCTACCAACAACAATGTGGCATAAGCAAAACGTGAGTAGTTAGAAGGCCAAGACCTGGCATCAAAATGTTATAGTACCGAAAATGAACAAGCTACTTAAGGTAAGAAAGGGCAACTAAGATCATCACAATAGTCTTTAAGAATAAAGTTCCATATTACAAATGCATTTTCCTCTCTTTGTTATTCAACTTACCAAAGGATTAATACCCTCTTCATCCTCACCAATAGAAACCAGGATACTGTGCTGCTTCAGCTGGTACAGATGTGTCACCCTTAGCTTGTAAGCTTGGAAACTGCTGAGTTGAAGGGAGCGAGGCAAAAACCAAATCTGACCTTCCATATTTAGATCACAGTTAAGGCACATAAAGGGAAAAAAAAAAAAATTCCCACACCTCCAATCATACAAGGATCTGCACGCCTTTTGCTGATTCCTGGTATAGCTACAGCAACCACCTCTGCGGAGCAACCCCTGAACACCAACATATCTAGCGTCGGTTTGGGTTTGTTTTTTTTTTTTAACAAAGCACAGCCGAGAGCGGAAAGCTGCCGCACTCCCAAGGCCGGAGTACCCTCCGGCGCGCGCTAGACATCGCCCAGGACTCGCCTACCACGCAGCCTCGGCTCGGCCGAGCTCCGCGCAGGCCACAGCGCCCGGCCCCGCACAGGATATCTCCGAACACGAGGCTTCCCCGGCCCGAGTCGCAGACTGCGATGCCCGGGGGCAGCGCGAAGGGCTTCGCACTGGCCCCATCCGGCCCCGGCGGCTCCCTCACCGTCTCCCTGTCAAAGAAGACGAACCGGCGCCACTGCAGGTAGGCAGCCATGTTGAGGCTAGCCCCGCGCGCCCGCCCCTCACGTGACCTGAGTCTCCGCCCCTCAGGTAACGCGGCGGGGCGTGCCGGGCGGGGTAGCTGCAATGCCAAGAAATTTTACTTCAAAGATTGAATTTTAAACGTCCATATTGAAAAAATATCCCAAAGCCTGCTAGAAATTTAAAACTCAGAACAATCTTAAATGAGTCATTTTACAGTAACGAATATACAATGTTTTTAATCTGCCTCTCTCCAACAAGGCCTTAATAGTATATACAAAAAGGCTTGGTATTTAAATGTGGCTAAGAATTAATGAATTTGCTGTAAGCTCAGCAGGACATGACTAATTATTTATGTGTTATTAGTGACAGATTGAGCTTTTTAGCTTAACAAAGAAGAGCAATAGTAAATACATTAAAAATAAAGCCATACCTTTGGATACACGTTTAAGTCGGTTTCAATGCAACCTCAGCAAACCAGAATGCATTCAGCGTTTATGTACTTATGCAGTACTTCATTTCATTGCAACTGTACACTTCTACTGCTCCAGTGCCTCAGGCACTGCTCAAAGTGGGACCTTGTTGTTTACGATCTAAAGTATTTAGTTACCACTATGGTAAATTCTGTATGAATGTTCTGTTAAATTGTTTACCTTAAGCTATCAATTAAGTGCTGTTAGGTTTGCTGTTAAACCTTTATGCATAAACCACTGGTCAAGTCCAGGGCACAGCTGAGCAAGGACAGTCTACTCTGAACCTTGTGACTCAACTTACCCATTCCTATCCTTACTTTTTTTCCCTGAGCCTCCATGTAGATAATTTTGGGTTGATTTTAGGGTTGGATTGAGTGTAGTCTGCCTTTACTGTGTGCTTTAACCATCTGGGCCACAGCAGTGAACCTTGCCACCGAACTTCACCCTGCTTTCACTTTTTCATTAAGCCTGCTTTTGCCAACTGCTTTGCTAGTGACTTTTAAAAGCATCTTGCCAGCAAGGCAGAGCTCAGGATGAGTCTTGCTGAAAGACATGAGGACACAGCCCCAGCAGGATCTGCAGCGCTCCTCTGGCCCCTTGCAGAAACTCTCATTGTCGAAGTCGAGGCTAACTTGGCAGTGCAACCAGATGCCACACTCTAGTCTAGTGGAGACAAGACTGTGGAGCATTCAACCCTGGAAAAACAGCTACCATATGGAGGGTCTGTGCAGAAAAAGGATGCCTCTCATGGACATAGGAGAGTACTTTTCCATTTGTCATGTGCCTCCTTTTCTTGAGGCTTCTCTTCAAAGGTTGTTGCATCCAATGCAATCCATGAGTCTCTGTAAGGACACCAGCATGCTTTTTACTCAGCACAGTTAGAAGGAAAAAAAACAGAACAAATGGGAGTTCCAGGGAGCTTTTATTGAGTTTCATTAACAAAATCAGGATTTTTCCATTCATCTTTTTTTGCACTCACAACTCATGAAGCTCTTCACAAGTCAGTGCTGCAACACATACAAAGCCAGAGAAAACACATTCTCAACAAAATCTTAGCTCCACTGGAGAGTTTGCCAATTGCCAATTTAACAGAAAGCCAATTTTCCCCTCCCTCCCTTGACTGTTTTGAATGACTAGAGCATATCGTTTGCTGGTTAACAGTTAGAACATCAACCCCTTGTCTAGGGTCTACTGGATTATGACACTCCACTTGAATTGCAAATAATTTCTTTTCTTGAAATAAAAGTTCCAGTTTTGTTCAATAAGGGGAACAGTGACTATTTTCTTCTCCTGACACCCCTTCCCCAAAATTACTGGTTAAAATACAGCAAGGCTGTATCTTAATAAACACATCCCTGTCCCCCCTCCCCCCACCCCTTACTCCTCCCTAACTTGTCTACAGCAGAATTTAATAATGCTTCCACACAGAGGCATTTTAGCAACACAATGATGAACTGAGCAAAGCCTACAGGATAATCTGCCAAAGCCTTCTTGTGAAGTTCAGATGCATGCTCTTTGGTCCAGAGACCTAGTTGATTACAAAGATAAACTGTGATTCAAAAAAGATGGATCAGAAGATCACAGCAAGCAGAAAACTCCCTGCAGGGACTACAGTTGCCCAACCTTTACCAGGGCAGCTGTACTGCTGAAGTCTCCGTGAACAAAATTCACTTTGCTCTCAGGAAGACCAGCAGCCCCAGCAGCACTACAAAGTTCAGCATCAGGGCAAGAACCACCACAACAGCAGCTGAAGAGATGTGGCATGACAGCTCTGTTACCTCTTACAGAAACTAGAGGCAAGACAGCCATCTGCTCAGGCTTGTGTCCCATCAGTCATTTGTAAAGAAAATAGTCTTTGAAGCATTTTTAAATC